TGTTGATTTTTTTCCTGTAACAGGCTAACTTGGCTATCCCCTGAAGCTCACTTTTTCAGCTTAACTTTTTGACTTAATGGAAACACTGACAGAAGTTCAATAACAGCGCAACTGGTTACTAAAAAGTTTGTCTACAGAAGTATTCTGTATTATTCAGAACTATTCAGGGAAATGTTGATAAAGTAGCATAGCTCATTTTAACCTAGTCTGACCTCCTACATTTTGCTCAGTTCTTTGCAGTATTCCTACAAATGACAAACCAGTGGCTCTTGACTATATCTGAGCAATAGTGCCTCAAGCACCATTCTTTCATTGCCCAAAAGCTCAAAGTGCACTTTCTTAATATGTACCCTCAATTTCAAGATATCGGTGCTTTTCCTATCACCAATAATTCTCTAAATAATTGCCATTCATCTGTCTATCTTGAAGGCATTTATATAAAACGTGAGTATGTTGGATTTTCTAGTCTACAGAAGCATTGCTCCCTCAAACTCTCTTTGTGTCTTTCCTCCAATTCTTGGATCACTTTATTTGCCCTCTTTTGTAATTCTTCTATTGCATTTGAACTGAATCTCACAAAAATGTCATGAGATGCAGAAGGCTACTGTACGGCTCTCCCATCTGTTCTATAAATTATCCCTTAATGTAGGCATAAACAATACATACTAGTTATATTTGCCATGGCATCAAAGCTGCAAATTCATATTTGGTTTGCCAGCTAGCATAATCCCTTGGGCTCTCAGAAGAAACAGTTGCCACTTCTAAGCAGTTCCCAAGATGCTATGTCATGGCAGCATGAAGTTACAGTATATGTGAGCTAGCCAATTATAGGTAGGACTCTAGGGTTTTCAGACCTTAAATTTGTAACTACATAGCATTCCAGTACTGTAAGTATTTGACTCCGATGAGATTTCTAGACAAGGTAAGACTGGTGCCTACCAAGGTAACTCAGTTGTATAGCCTAGCATTTTACACACTCTTCAAGAGAACTAGTATATTGAGTTTACTAGAAACTATTTCCAGAGGTAAACTGCAGTTGGCTCTTTACCAGAAGACAACACATGCTAAGGTAAGTTACTTTGCAATTATCATTGTTTCAAGTTGAATTCTATGCCATTACTGCAGAACAACCTAGAGTCAAGAATACAATTAATCCACATTACCAGGACAGATAAACTACAAAACAGTGACGTTATTTGAGATAGGCGTCTACCAATTTTTTCAAACACTAACAACCAGAGTACAAAGCCTACTAGTCAAGGCAAATGAAGATGAAGGAGATCAAAAGATAAATAGTAGTTCCTTAATGAGAAACCCAGCTGCATGGAAAGAGACAGGTTTTGGGATTTCTAGCAGGGTTGCTACAGGGCTCCTTTGTATTTACGGGCTAGTAAGCCTCTAGTGCAGGGGTGGTGAACCTCAGGCCTGGAGGCCGGATGCGGCCCCTGGCTTGTCTGGATCTGGCCTCCAAGGTTCAGCATAGGGGAGCCTGCACTGGTGCTCCAGCCACCCACCTGCAGGGCTGGAGCACACAAAATCTACTAGCGTGGAGGCCCCCCCAGGCTCTGGTGTGTGAGAGGAATGTAGGGAGCATCTTTTTCCTTCTCAGTCAGGGATTTCTCACTTGTGTGTGGCCCCAACTGATTTTTCTGGGGTCAGTGGCCCCTGACCCAAAAAGGGTTACCTACCCCTGTTTTAATGTGTCTAAAGTCTATTCCTTCTTCCTCTTAGGATCCAATACGGGGAAGATTCCTCTCACACCCAATACTAGGGCCAAGGAAAGATCTCCATACTCTTAATTCCCAGCCTCCAGTTTGGTGGCCTTCCATCTCAGCCATCAAAAAATACACTTAGTCATTCATTTCTAGAATACTTATGACTACAATACGTAAATGCCTAATTCGGTGGTTCTCAAAGTGCAGTCTAGAGACCAGTGGTGGTCCATGACCATCTTTCACGTGGGCCGTGGGCTCAGGAGTTGGCCACTCCCCTACAGCAGGTTGCCCATGCTGGCAGTACAGCCCCGCCCCCCCCCCCTCACGAGGTTGGAGTTCCAGTGCTGACTTCCCGCTGCAGGTTGGGGGGAAACCCTAAGCCTTATGAGCCATTTCTAGCATATGGAAGAGAAGTGGCTCCACGTGCTGCTGCTCCTTCTCCTTCACTCCGGCTGGGGTAATGGCACTACAGGAAACTGCTCACCTGGAGGCTTTCCCCACTGTTCCTATTGGCTGGAATCCCAACCAATGGAAGCAGTAAGGCACACTGCCTGGGAGACACAGGGGGCGCAGAGCCAGGTAACCCCACCCATCCACCTCATGCTCAGATCCTGCACCCCCTTTGCCATCATGTACCCCCTCTCTTGCCCAGACCCTTTATCCCAAGCCAGCTCCTGTACCCTCCCTCCCATCCAGACTCCCCCCACCCCCAGCCCACTCCTGCACCCTATGTCGAACCCAGACCTCGCACCCCCACCCCTTCCTGCTCCCATTCTGTCATCATGGATAGTTGGCTAGTTGTCCGTGGAAAGGTTTGTGTTGAGTGGCATGGGTGGCGGTCCAAATTGTTTGAGAACCACTGGCCTAATGGAACAATTCAATTGTTTTTGGTGTTCGTTCCTTTCACAAAAAGCAGAATGAAAGTTTGTCAGTTTCACCATTACCCACAGAGTTCTCAATAGCAGTAGTGACACTAACCAGCAGAATGAAAGTCTGTCAGTTTCACCATTACCCACAGAGTTCTCAATAGTAGGAGTGACACTAACCAATACCTCACACACCACAAATGCAGCGAAAACTACCAATACTGATGGAATGTGGGACAACAGAGGCACTGACTTTGTTTTTAGAATCCAAGACAGTACTAGACCAATTTACACTGTATTCAGTTTGAGTGTTGTATTTAGCTCAGAATATTGTTTCCCCATATATCCCACTCCCCCCATACAAACAATAATGGAACATATAATACAGGATTCTATTCCCTAAACAGGGCAACAAGGCAGGAGCAGGCAGAGTTCTCTTCACCACCCTCACTGACATATACAGAAGAGAGGTGAGAATAGGTGTGGGGATGTCGTTTGTATTTCAGCCTGCCAAATAGTCTGGCAGCCTCTATCCTTTGGACAGTAAGTAATCTTCTTCCCCCTCCCAGGCTTACAGAAGTGGCTGCTTTCACTGTTACTGATATTGTTGCCCTTCTTCATGTTAAGTGCTTAAAGTCACAGCACCAAAGTGCTGTTAGAAAAATTTGTTTAAAAAAAAAATCTATACAAAAATCCAATGATATAAAAACTACTGCTACTATCACAGACTGAACACATCAGCCAAGTTTATCAGGAATAACACTTAACTAAGAGCTAATGCTAAATACCTGCACTCTATAGGCCTCCAACCCCCCCATTTCTGGGATCTAGTGGCAAATTAGAGATCATATAGGTTATCAGGCTCAAGAGTAAAGGAATCACAAGAGCATCAAGTTGAGCTATCAAGGAATATTAGGGTACATCTACACAGCAGGGCTAAAGTTGAATTAAGCTATGCAACTTAAGCTATGCAATTGATGTAGCAGAAGTCGAAATAACTTAAATCGGCTTTTGGCACGGTTTACACAGCAGGAAGTCTAAGGAAGAACACTCTTCCTTCAACTTCCCTTACTCCTCATAAAATGAGGGTTACAGGAGTTGGAATAAGAAGTCCTCCAGCTTGCCATTATTTCAAATAATGGCTTGCAGTGTAGACACACTTTGTTATTCCAAAATAATGTCAGTTATTCTGAAATAATGCTGCTGCGTAGACATACCCTTACTGATACACATATACCCCTACTATCCCAGCATCTTTAAACAAACTTACGAAGGTTGAGCTCTAACTCAATATTAACTATGAATAAATTATTAGAATAAAAAAAATACTGCATAACTTGAACTTTCCAACAAGTTTCTAACATTATTTGCACTGGAATTAGATTTTGTCTGTCAACACAAATGAAGAACTGTACTGTCTTTGTAACTCGTTTCCCCCATGATACCGATATGTAGTTGCCTACTGCATGTTGCCTTTCATCTGAAGAATTATAAATGCTCTTCACAGACCATTACTTAAGCCTTACAGTACACTTGAGTTTAAAAAAACAAAACAAAAACAGAGCCAAGATCAGATCTCATGACTCTCAGCTCTATGAGTTAGCCAAGAGACCATCCTTCCTCTATTCTTAAGTACCTGGAAAGTGAGTGATCAGACACCCAGCAAAGCCTTTATTAGAGTTAAGGTGCACAAACGTTCAACATTAGCCCACGTCAAATATTAACAACTACTAACAATGTATTAAATGTTTAACATGGAGATTCTAAACTAGATACTAGAAAGTTATATTTAGAAAATAGACATCACCTGACCATTTTCCTCATCTGACCATTCTCTTCAATAGTACTGGCTTAACCTGAAGTTCTTACTTAAGAGCAAAATATCGAGTATTGCAATATGGTAACTCATTGGCAATTTTCACTTTTGTTACAACTTACACCATACCCTAAAGGGAGAATAATTAATTTAGAAGAATATTCTGCAAAACAGCTATGTTGCCATAGGTACCCATTTGTTTTATAAAACATAGCATTAATAGTTTTAGCTATATTATATAAAGAAACCCAAAGTATTCCTTTCAATAATAGTAATAGGAAAGAAACGGTCTTTCCAACTAATGTTTGCTTCAACATCGTTTACACAAGTTACTCCAACATTGTTATTAATATTACTTATAACAGTGTCTACATAACCTAAACAATAGGAGTGATTGGGACACATTTGCAGCTTCCATGATTAATTTAAATACACACGTGATATATATGGAATACTAAAAACCTGCATGGGTTAGGTCAGCATTTTCAAATAATGAAAAGAAGACTAACTTCACCCACATGTACTTTCTAACATACACTATGAAGATGTATATACACACATCATTTAGCATTAGATGATTGCAAAATATGTTTAAAAGAATACCTTTCTAGTGTGTGTTTATGAGCCAGCTGGCAGCCACCCTTCACTCTAGGTGGTTGGTTATTGTTCATTAATGATGTGGATAATTTATAGAAAGACATTTTAGCATCCTTGAACATAGAACTACCAACATAATATCATCATTTCCACAGATACAGATACGATGACTTAATCAGTAATCCTCTTGGGGCTAGAGAACTATGCTTCTTTTACGCTGCTCAAATAGTAGGAGAATCATATACATAAAAGATGAAAAAGCACATTGGAGTGAAATGTTACATTACAACACCACAAAACTAAATCCTCCCACCCTTTATCTAACATAAATACCACACGATCTCTTCTTTCACTGCTGACTCCGATAACTTCCAACAGTTCCAGAGGAAGCGTCTGTTTAAAGTCTAACCCTGAAACCGCTGCACCCATACCGCTGAGAGAGGTGCGTGGCGGGGGTACGGTATGCGGAGGAACTATTTGTTATCAGGGCAGTAGCGTGAGTACCTGTTAGAGGAGCTTCAGGGTAGAGAACCCTGTAACCCTCCACCCACTCAGACGGCAAAGGGATGGACATAGGACCCTCCCCACCAGCCCGGTCCATCCTTTAAGAGATGCGGATACACTCCGCCCCACCAGCACCCCGTAAGCGGCACAGAGACCCCGCAGCTTCCTCCCGCTCTCTCTCTCGGGGGGCAGGGACCCCACAGCCTCCCCCTCAGGGGGCAAAGACCCTCCCCCCCACGCAGGGGCTGGAGAGTCTGGTTTATGAGCCGGGGCACTTAGGATGATGGCCCGGTCCATCCTTTAAGAGATGCGGATACACTCCGCCCCACCAGCACCCCGTAAGCGGCACAGAGACCCCGCAGCTTCCTCCCGCTCTCTCTCTCGGGGGGCAGGGACCCCACAGCCTCCCCCTCAGGGGGCAAAGACCCTCCCCCCCACGCAGGGGCTGGAGAGTCTGGTTTATGAGCCGGGGCACTTAGGATGATGCTTTTTCCCAGCCCTATTATCTCCCCACACGGCCCCCCTACCCCTCCTGGCCCCCCACAGCCCAC